GACATCCACCTTGTGTGCAGGTAAGCTGAAACCAAGTTGAAACAAACAATTTTAGACTAGTTTATATGACGAGTGTAGTGTTTATCATGCGGCTCTGTGTTTAAAGGATGTGTTCTGACAGCTCCAGTGAACTGACAAAAGCACTTTAATATCATGGCACGTTTAAACCTGTTGCTGAATGCTGTTAAGTCAATGGTGCCAGTATTTAGAGAGATCCATTTTCAGAAAGTAGTCCGAGTTGTGACTCTCAGCTGGTGTGCAGCGATGTGCTGCTGTATGAACTGATATTTGCCTGAAGCCTTTCAAAATGAGCTTTACCACACATATTTTCCACAACCTCATGCATGTCGGGCCCTGTCCAGTGGATCTTTGCACTCACATGCTTACCAGGGAGAATTTGATGGACGGCATGATGGCCAAGTTCAACTTAAACAAACAAACTGGAGATAATAGACTTAGGTCATGATTTTGCAAAGCAATTCAACAAATACCTCAACTCTGACTGTGGTTTTCTGTAGGTTTAGACAAAGATGGAGCAGGCTATTGTGTCAACATCTGTTCAGCATCTAAATATTCGCTTACAGATAAAACCTGCATGTTATTCTCTGATTGGTTATTAAATGCTGCCTCATGACTTTCTGAACAATATCACGTCTTCCTGCAGTGTGCTGCAGCGCTGACAACTTTGAAGCAGCACCTCTCTGACAGAGATGTTCTGACTTGTACTCACATCATCACAGTGAGAGCTCTCAGGTCTCGGTCTTCGCTGCCTGTCTGTCTGCATCCCTGTCTGCCAGTCTGCCTGTTGTGCAGGGTTTTTGGCCTGTGTTAGTTAGGAAAGCGCAGGTTGGCGCTGGGCTGGAGAGGTTGGTCTTAAGGCTTTGTCCACACATCACCACAGCTGATTGCTCCTCTGGATGGTTGGGATTCTCAGCTAAGACAGGGATTACTGACCCATGTCGGCTTCCCACCTTTACAGCAGCCGCTTCGATGTTCTCCCAGCCTGAACTCAGACGCCCCAGAGAATTGAGAAAGATGTGTGTGTATGTGTGTGCTTTAGTTTGCTTGTGTCTAAAACCTTGAAAAGATAACTTCAATAATATCTTTCAACTAATAAAGAAAACTGTTTTATCTACGAGATAAAGTGTGCGCGTGACACACACAAACACTGGCATGAACTTGACCAAAAATAAAGTGTTATCAGTCGTTCAAGTATGCTGATGAATACACATCCGTAATTGTATTTATGTGACAAAAACCTCTGATTAATCCCCTTAGAGTCAGGCTGCTGATGATCTGAGGATGATTGGACTCTCACAGGCCATCTGGCACGGTGTCACCTCAGTCATGCACTGGCGATTTTTCACATAGTTTAATGTGATACGATGCAATCTGACACAGTTCTTATTTGTTTATAGTAGACTTTTATTTTCCATTCTTAATTGAAATAAGCCAGTTCTATAACAGTGACATTGCTTACCTTCAAATACTTGGATTTTATAAAACATCAGGGAATCCCAAGATTTTTTTGTCTTTATTACATGGGGTAAAAACGTGTCAAATGTCTCATTTCAGAATTGAAATTGTCATTGTTTATTGCTTTTCAAGTAGACAGTCAAAAAAAAGACAATGAAAGCCGTGATTACCTTAGACCTCGCTGAGTTGTAGCTAAGTTGCGGCTAGAAAGTGTTTAATATCCCTGTCTTGTGTGTTCTTGCTTGTACTAGCTGTATTAGCAAACTTTCCTTCCTCATAGAATCCAAATGTCTTCCAGACAGATGGTGTATGTAAATCATGTTGACGTTGGCGGACATGTTCGTTCATGAGCTGATCTTTGACGTTGGCGGACATGTTCGTTCATGAGCTGATCTTGCGAGCCACGCTGTTCTAACATTACTCTCGTAGTTTTTGTCGAGAGACCGTGGCGTTGACCGTTTACCTTTCATGAGTAAGGAGATACTGTTGGCAGCAAAGCTTCAGTCAACTGATTCATAACTTTAGAATCGAACCATCGACCAGTACATGGTACATTTTGATTGATCCAAGGTACAGATGTAGTCGCATGTAACGGTAAAACCGACTTGTACCAGTAAATCTTTACACCCCTACTGTGTTACTCACTGAGCTTTAGAGATGTTGGCAGATTTTGATTTGTTTTCTACCAGTTCAGTGACTACAGCATATAAGCACAAAAAATATAAGTAAATTAGTAATTTCAATTATTACCTTCTAGTGCAGAGGTTATTATATAAATGATTAACTGTGTATGTCAAATTTTAAAAAAGCTGTTATAATTCTATAATTTGTAATTGTAAAGCAATTCATAAATCAAACACATATTCAGTAATAGAAATAATGATTCGTTGCAGTCCATTAAGTGAAACAGAAGTGATTTTCACTTTGAAATGCTTTTCCCTCTTGACTATGTTTTTCACTTGTGCAACCTTAAGAAGCTGCAGCATTATTACTATGTCTTATAACCAAAATTCTTTTACATTTTTGTATGTATGACAATATTTTATTTTTTGTATTTTTGGACTTGTGCATTCACACTGCATTAATATGCCAGCCTAATATATTGCCAGCTACAGTTTTGCACAGAGTCCTCCTGTTGAAAGAAGAGACACTTAACACATTGTGAGATATATTTTGTCAAATGAATGGGATGTAGTGCAGGACACAAAACCTTTTTTAATCACAGATTTAAAAAAAAGATTTAAGATTCCCTGTTACAAAGTCCAACAACTCAATAGCTGACATTCCAGAGTACAGTGTACAATCGAGCTGTTTCTTTCTACAGCTCAACTGCTAACATTCCAGTCTACAGTACACAATCAAGCCATCTCATTCCGCTATGAAATAGGCTGAAGTTTCCATTGTGTCAGGGTAGTTATTAGCCCCAGAGACAGACAGAGCCAGCCAAGAGAGGAGTTAGGGCTGTCCGTCAGCCTCTAATGTCTCCACACAACAACCCAAACCTAAACTGACAGGCACACACCATACTGACAGCCCACTAACAACACACTATTGTTCCCTTCCAAATGGCCAGGACACACCTTTCAGTGCCCACAGAAAGAGAGAGAGTGGCAGAAAGAGGACGCACAGAGACAGCCATGTACTGTGGGCCCTCGGTCAGACCAGCACACGGGACACACATGTAGCCTTTATGTAGATTAGGGTTGGTCCATATGGATGAAATGTTCTTTCATGGTACTGTGATACTGACCTACTGTGTATCGTGATGAAGTACATTTTCTGGAAATTATTTGAGAAACTGACAAAATAACCAGATGATCTCTGCTTGGGCAATTTTAAATACCGGACAAATAAGCATTGATGTAAATATTTTACAGACCTTATGTTGCCATAATGCAGTCCTGCCCACTGTTGCAACATAATACAACCAAAGATGTTGAAGAGTAACTTAACACTTATTGTTAAGATGAGTTAGTAAATTATATGTACAGCTATAGTTAGGTCGGTAGAGCAGATCGTTCATTAATCACAGGGTTGGTGGCTCTATCCTCAGACCCTCCTGTCAACATATGGAAGCATCTGTGATCATTTGGACGTTAAGAATCAATGCAATCGACAGTAGCTGCGATACAGTTACATGTGGGTGAAATGAGCCGTTCTGCTGCTGTATCGACAAATGAAAAACATGGCTGGAATACATCTGGTGGAGGTTAATATGTAATATGTGGGAGCCTTTTGAATTCAAAAGCTTGGGGGAAAAAATCATGGACAAAGGTAAGGCTGTTTTTTTTTTTTTTTTTAAGTATTTTTTTAGGGGGGTTTTTTATTGCCTTTTATGATAGTGGCAGCTGAAGATAGAGAGAGGGGATGACACGCAGCAAAGGGCCGCATGTTGGATTCGAACCCTTGGCCGCTGCAGCAAGGACTCAGCCTCAGTACATGGGTCGCCAGCTCTACCCACTGAGCTAACCGGGCAGTTTTTGAATAATTGACAGAGGTGTGTTGAAGGTAAAACACAATGTTGAGTTTCTCTTTAAAGGGATAGCTATGTTCCATGCTATATGTTTTTATCGTCTCAGTATATGTTTTTCCATATTCAATAGTATCGAACCAAATTTAGTTGTTGCCACAAAAATATCGAAGCTCGGTAACCAGCCTTAAAAAGATTTGCAAGCATTTGAGTCACACATGCACACGCACACACACACACACACACACACACACACACACACACACACACAGTATGCTCAAGCACACTTCCTTGTCTGTGTTATGTTTCAATTTCACCACACACACACACGCACGCACGCACACACACACACGCACGCACACTTTTGAGGAGCTGAGGCAACAGCCTGTCCTCTCAGGGTGCTATCCAGTGGATGCCTTCCAAAAATATCTGATCCCCTAAAGGCATATTTCACTCAAAAGAAGTCTGCTGATGTTTTCCAAGGGAATCTGATTTCAAGCAGTGCAGCAGCACGCACTGTCAATATGCATCTGGTTTAATGAGAGGGTGAGAGTAAAGAGCCGCCCTGCGTCGCTATGTAAACGCTTTGCCCAACGTGGAAATGAGAATTTCACTGTATTGCACATTCATCAGCTGCCATTTTGACAGAGCAAAATTAGTGTGTGTGTGTGTGTGTGTGTGTGTGTGTGTGTGTGTGTGTGTGTTTGTGTGTGTGTCATTTAAGACTCTTATTGCCTCAGCCCGTCATTAACCTCTCAGTATGTTGTAACAGCCCCTGACAAATAGCAGGGGGGCATGAGTACATATAATGATGATACAGTATGTGCATTCTGTTATTGCACAGATGAAAGTTGTAGTATGAGTACGACTGGAGTTCTTGGATTTGACTGATTTACTTTCTTTTTCTTTTTATGCATCCCATTTTTTGCCACTGGCACTTGGTTTTAGTCCAAAATGAGGGTCAGAACACATGGAAAGATATGGAAATGGAGCTGTTACATCAAAAATGGAGTGACAGAGAACCCGCAGAGGCTCCGTCTGATGTCGACCCTACCTTCTGTCGAATCTCTTCTTCCATCTTGATGGGGGAGCCAAACTCAGCGACCTGACGGACGCCCTCGCTGGCGTAGCCTCCGTACTCCCACAGCACGTAGCCTCTGGAGTGAGACGCACCAATCAGAGCCGACCAGTGGTTTGCTCGCCCTGGAAGATGGGAGAAGGAGAGACAAGGAGATTTAGGTTTGAGCAGTTTGAATTCTGATAAGTGAGTCAAGAAGAGAGTGAAAAACTAGCTGCTACTAGATTATCAGTGCTTTCAGACAAGCATGATAACATTTATTTTACTGTTGGTCAGTCAGCTTTTTCTTCGGCTGTTATAGTTGTAATAGTTGTCCAGCTCTGTGACAGATTCAATACAGAATACTTTACGACCATTAGTTCATGTACAGAAGCCAATAAAAGTTATAACCATATCCTGTTAACCAGCCAGTGCCATTTTATTTCTCTTCATTCATTCAGCCATACATTTACTTCATGTTAGTCCATTTCGTGCTACTACCGATCAGTAGTGAGTGATTACTATTACTATTTCTTGGCTGGGTGCAGTAACTGGTGGAGACTAGAGGAGGGATATCAAACTACTAGCCCGGGGGCCTTATCTGATGTCAAAAATATAATAAAAATTTTTATTGTTGTATTATAGTTTTATAGTTGTTTCATATCAATTTAAACTACCTCTTTATATACAGTTATTATAAAAACACAGTTCTGTTTGAAAAAATGTACTTAACGTACTGCAAAATAATGGCAAAGGCCAAAAGGTGGCCGTAAAAGCTTGCAAACGGTCAGTAAGATGGGGCTTTGGGGCTTTAATGGTTGTTTGGCTGCAAACAACAAAGATGATACAAAATGATGATATAAAAATGTATGGAAACTCAATTTTATTCGCATTAATAATGGAAATACTTTATTTTTATTCAGAATACTGTGCTTTCTTGTAGCACTTGAATACTGAAGTGGCCCTCCTATGAGATGACAATACCAGCAGTGGCCCCAAGCCAATTTTAGACCACTGGACTAGAGGAAGTCACTTCATCTGGCCAAGAAATAGTCCGACCCATAACACCACTTTAAAAACAAAACATGTTGTTTTTGAACAGATCTGTGTTTGTTAGTTAGCTATACACACACATGCAGACATACAGTGCGTTCTCTACTCATACTGCGGATGTGTTCAGTGTACATGGATGCATTAGTGCATGCCCGCAGTCTGAACTCACTTGGGTAGTCTTTGGGATGTACTTTCTCTGACCAGTTGCCATAGAAGGTGAGTCTGTACTTGGCTGTTCCACAGGCGCAGCACTCCATGGCAGGAGTTTCTGTGGCTTCACCGAACACACGCTCTACAGGGAGGAGGAATACGAACACACACACCCATATGTAAAGATTTAAGTGTAGACAAGATGCACAAGCCCGATCATTTATAGAGAACACAGTTCAGGAGCAAACAGACAAACAGAGATTGGCCGGCGTGCAAGCTCTGACACATATGCACACCTGAATAAATTACCAGTTGAATGACTACAATTTGGAACCAGTGAGAATGTCACAAAATTACACTGTTGGAGTAAACTGGTATTTAAATGACACATTAGCCTTGACGCGGACTCATAAATATTCAAATATTGGCCTCAACCAATGTTTTGCAAAGATAGGTCAAGGGGAGTACTTGAATATTTATGAGTCACCAAATTATTCGGAAGAAATTCTCACTTGACATCTAAGTTATAGCAGGATGAGTAAGCAAACTGAAAACAGGGTGGCTTGATTGGCTTGCATAATAGCCTGGAAAATTAGATTTTGGTGTGGAGAGGAAGATTTTATGAAAGTAAAAATCCCCTGAGATTAAGTTTTAAAAACCACTTGTCCGGACTCTGGTTTTTATTGTACAATAAAGGTGTGCATCAGAGCTCAGAGAGTCCCTCACTGTCTCACAAGACTTTAGTGTTTATTTGGGGGGAGCGTGGCATTTTTCTCTGCGGTGAAATCACAGGTTACATAGAAGCTGTGGCGCTGCTCTGTGGCGAAATACAAAGGAATATTTAAATTCCACACAGACTCCCAGGAGATCTGTGATTCGCTGTCCTCACATATTTCCCCGCTGCCTCTGTTGGCTTCATATTTTTTTAACACGGTATAAAAGAGCTGTTCTGCTTCGAAACGGTGGGGGGAAAAAATGACAGATAGAACAAGGGATAATGGCACCATGATGAGCGGTCAAGGATGAAAAGATGAGCAGCCAACGAGGGAGAGGAGGAGATGATGGGCAGCTGTCATTACCTTTCTCACACAGCCGAATGGTGAGAGAGCCTTCATCCTGGAAATAAATGACTTTCTTCTGGACAATGCTGGCCCTGGAGAGACAGAGAGAAAGAGGCAGTGAGAAAGCAAACAGAAGCGAAAAATTGTGAAATTATGACAGAAAAGAAAAGGGAGAGGAAGTTGGATTGTAAGAGGGGTGCAGAAAGGGTATTAGATGGATAATACTGTGGTGGGTTTTTTTCAATATCTGATCCATGTAATCCTCGGCGAGGGGGGGAAGGTAATGGGCTCCCCGAGGTTTCATACTGGACACAGAGTACACATCTTTTCACAGAAACAGCTCTGTATTTTCCAGACCTCATGATACAATCACACTGCTGCAATATGAAATGTATCAGAGCAATATGCCCACGGACATGAAGAAGAGAGAGCTGGAATTACAGTCGGCAGCAGGAATATAGATCTTTACACAGGCTTCACACAGAGCCAAACTCTAACGTATGAGCTAATACAGGAGAATGAAAGTGTCCCAATGAAAATAGGTTGTTTTACCAATACCCTTACATTCCTCTTCAGTGAAAACGAAATGCATTTCTCACATTGCGCAGATAGAGGCTTAAAACTTAGTGTGATGACACTTCTATGGAAAGACTGAGGTGACAAAGAAGGTAAAAAAAAAAAATTGTCAAGAGAAAAAATAAGATCGGGTGGCCTTGCAATACTTTTACAATATGTTTGAAATAGTTTTATATTCCATCGCAATTGAGTTGCAAGTTCTTTACATTCTGTCTGAATAGTTCAGCATGCTTGCGCCCACACTTCTCAGACAAAATCTTAAAATCCTTTCACTGCTCTGCTGTCATAAACTGTTGGATGAACTAGAAAAAGATGTGATTGTTAGCACTTTACACGAATTGTCAACAATCCAAACATAGAAATGACAGAAATCTGGGTGTTGTTTCATTTCTGCAGCAGGTTGTTAAACTTTTTTTTATCTTGGGAGCCAAAATTGAAAATGAGTGCGCCCCGGGGACCAAAGCTCATGAATGCATAATTTCTACATCAGCTTGGAAATATTCATTAAAATACTCAAATTTATATCTACAGTAAATCATATCACAAACCTTGTTTTACATTTCTGTAAATAACAAACCAACTACATGAGGAAAGAAACTCCAGAGGAAAACAGCACCTAACTTACTTTAAGTTTTCTCCTTTGTTCTGGAAGAACACCATATGCTTCGTAAGCAGGTGTCTTATCAATTTATTGCTTTTAAAGCTCTGCATTGTTCCTAATTACTCTGACTTACCATACTCAAGATATTCTTCGTCATATTTATGTTCTGACTAAACTTCATGACAATAAAGCTGTTTGCAATTCTAGGTATTGACACGTGAACTATTGCCCTGCGATATGGTCCAGTGTGGCAAAAAAAAACGTGCAGAAGCTTGAGATAGTTCAGAATCAAGCAGCATTGGTCCTGAACTGTTTCAGATGGAAGGCTGAGGGGATGCTTGCTGGTCTGTCCTGGCTGAGGGTGGAGGAGTTCAGTTTCTTATCCTTCTTCTAGGAAATATGTGCAAGACAGTGACAACTGATAAGCAGAGCCAGACATTGTAAACATTGGGGGTCTAGCCCAAACTTAGAGGGGTCATTTTTCCCCATTCATGGCAGCTAAACGCACTGTTTCAAGCCATTTGAAATAATCAAATCTGTACATTATTTGGGAAAAACATGATAGTTGCCCAGGGGAAAAAAAATCACCCTGTAGAGCCTACATCCTCCAGGGTTCTGAAAACGCTCTGAGTAGGATTTGAAAAAAGGAGGATCAAAGAGCTGCGTCCCAGACGCGATGTCATAAAGCCACAGTGGAATTTCAGGGTAATGGTTGTGCTCTGATATGAATATGTATGTATATAATGAATGTATTTAATTTTATATTCAGTTATGTGTGATTAATCACGTAAAACTTTGGACAGGAAAAATAGCTGTTGCACTGATTACAGAAGATTCATAAATAAAGATAAACTTCCGTTTGGGCTTTAAGGTAAGACGTGGTTGTGGAGAGCCTGAATCTGACAGCACACCAACAAATGGGGATGGAGCAGCTGACTGACATGAGAAAACATGCATACAAATGTCCTGCTAACAAAGAGTTGTCAATATAAGCAGATGCAGGTGTGAGGGAGAGCAGCTATAAGATTTATAAAAGCTCTGTGACTTGCCTCTAGTCATATAAATGAAAACATATCACTAAAGGTAGATCATGTATTTCCACTGCTGACCAGTCTGACTGAAGACAGACTTAGAACTAAAAGATGAAACTGTACTTCATCTTGCAGTGGCTTCAGGTACTCTTAATTTTGATTTGATACTCCCACGTATAATTTTCAAAGCAATAAATGGCCCGTCCCCAAATTGCATTTCAGAACTGTTTTCAGAACACAGCAGACAACCCAAATGTGACTGTGGCAAAGCCTAGATTAATGACTAATGATAATCAAGCCTCACAGTCAGAATGCCTAAAATGTAGCTGAGTTTTGCTTTGTAAATGCCATAAGAAATTGCACTATATGTATCATATAAATTTAAATTCACAACGATTATATAACTGCAGTTTTTCTAAAAGCAGTCTGTGTGTCACAGCAGCAAAGTCTTCCGAGCATCTCCACCTCATACGGCAGAGACATAAAAGCGGGATATGAAAGTGAGCTGAACAACACTGACTGTGGAGACAGAGGAGGGACTGGCGACATTAAGTAGGAGTTATCGGTTATATTGCTCCTATAAATCTTACACAGACTGAATGGTGCAATATACCCTGCAACATGGGTTGACTGCTTGGGCATGAAATTGAAAAACAAAAGTGAAATATATAGACTATTATTGAGCTGCCCTTGATAGTTTTTAAGTAAATTCTGTAATGGTTTCAATAAGGCTAATAGTCATTTGTCAAAAGAATTCATCAATAAATCCCACAATAAATCTGGTCATTTGAAAAAAATGTATATCTGTTCACTGTGAGCGTTCTATTCATACCTACAGTCACACCTGCCTGTCTTTCTTTAAGATATCTCCTCTTCACCATCAGTTTAATCTGTGCCGCAGTTTTCTCATCTCTAGTTGGAGAATTCGTCAATTACAGGCCACTTCACCTCAGAGAATACATGTGAAGGAGAAAACAAGTTCTTACAATGTTTCTACATTTCTCTCTGGTCCTAAAGAGGTCGTATAGGTGACTTAATATATCTGTTTCAGTAGTGTCCAAGTAGTAAGTAAGGCCATGCAGCTAGAACCGTGAAAAGGTGTCTACTTTACATTTACCTTGAAATTCTGCAACTAGTGTTAAGTTGCTAACTCACATCATGGCATTTCCACTTTATCACTTTTTGTTATCAAGCTGTCAGTAACCACTTTCTTTTTATTATCCCAGATGGTAAACTTGACTTGCAGTCAGGGATACGTGATAAAAACACAAGTACAGACAAAAATATAAAAAATGATTCCTGTACATACAATATACAGAACACAGTAATACAACAACAACAACAATTTCCTCAAAAACACTATTGATTTTTCTCTTTAAATCCCCAACCGCTAGATATCAGTGCTGTAAACGTAAACTGAGGGCTATATGATGCTGGATGTCACAGGGATAAAGACAAATACAGATCCCACTGTTCTGGTTGGTAACTTTTTTTACTTAGATGTATGCATATAGTGGTGTGCAGTGTTGGGCAAGTTACTTCTAAAAAGTAATTAGTTACAGTACAACCTCAGCCAATCGTCAGCATTTATGCGCTTGTCTCGTGCACTGCCCACTAACCAAGGAAGAACAGTGAAAAAAAGTCTTTGCCTCTCGGCTCAGAGATCTAGTTGGTCTGATGAAAAAAACAGCTTCAATTTTAGTAACGTGCTGCATTTTTTGGCAGTAACGGTAGTTTTTTCCCATCACTAGTGGTGTGTTCTTTAGACTACTACTACTACTACATTACTTTCCTATATAGTTTTTTTTTTTTTTGTGAAAATCGTTATATATCGCCTTGCTCACAGTAATGCGATACATCTGGAATTGGTTGAATTAGCGTTAAGTTGCAATCAAAACTTCCTGAAGGGACTGCCTTTCAAATTACATTTAGTCATTTTAATCTATTGTTTATAAAAAAAGATTATTGCAGGTTTAAAGTAAATGAGATATGTACTGTGTTTATATGGTTCCTGTATCCAGCCTGACATTTACCCACACATACACACATGTCCTACTCAAGGACACACACGCAGTTACTAGGAGCCACGTTGAATCACCAACCCTTACTTTCTTGTGCCTCTGTAAATAACTTATTTTATGTCCCTTATCCCATCCTGAATTTGTCAATATGATACTGCTGATGACTCCACCTCAAACTGTGCTAGTTGAAGAGTGCATTTCAACAAAATTGTCAGTTTAACCAAATTCTCAATCACAGAGAGAAGCATCTAGTCTGCAGCTCTTCACGCTGACATCCTCTCAAACAGCGAAATTTGATCACCGCTCTTCCCTTTCCCATTTCCCCTCTGACTGTGAGAGTCTGCACCAGGCTTCTCCCTTAAGATCTGGACTCTAACAGTGGGTAAACACATCCAGCGTAACTTCTCTCTGGAGACGTCCTCTCTCTCTGGCTGTTCTGTCAAATAGCACAGCCGTGGAGCTGCTGTGGCTACATGCCTCTGACACTTCCTGTTGTACTGTAAATTCCTGGCAGCAAAATGTAAAGCAGATGCCTAAAACATGGAAAAAACACAAACACACTTGCTATTGTAGAAGACAGAAGTTGTCTTAGTGACATACACCAATCTTGCACTTTAAAGACAAGTATTAATGTTTCCAAATGTAAATTTTCCGTCTGTTTCCGACCTGCCATACAGCTGTTATTGGATTTTTCTTATCCCCTGTACTTCCCTGGCTCCCTCTATTCAGGTTTCTTATTAACAGTACTTCCATTGGCATCTCATGCATTATATATATATTCCACATCTCAGCGACATGTCTGCTGACTTCTCTTCTGTGCACCCTGGAGGCTTGGACGGCACTCCCCGCTGAATCTTCAGCAT